ACAAACTAATGGCAACCTCTTAAGTAAATTTGTTATGTGATTACATATCAGTCAGCCTTCTTGACTCCAATTACAATTGTATCCTCTGTCATTCTTTCAGCTGGCCAGTATGAGGAGCTGGAGTGACCTGCGAAACGAAATCTTGTTTCTGACAGAAAACGCCACCGGCTCACCGAGTCTAATGTACCAGGCTGTGTCCCGAATCGTGTGTGGACATCCGGAAGGCGGTGGCCTCAAGATTAAATCCCTCAACTGGTACGAGGACAGCAACTTCCAGGCACTGTTCGGCAGCCACAACGACAGTGATGACGAACCGGTTTCAGTCTATGACAACACCACCAGTACGTCAAAGCTACAACAGTGTTATTTAGTTTTTTTTTATTATATACTATTATAGTTTTTATTAATATTTAGAATGAGGTTTTATTTTTTAGTCATGTTTTTTAAATATTTTTATTTTATTAATATTTCTATTTAGCTTTAATTTATTTTATATATCATTTTTAATTTTAGTAATTGTAATACTTCAGTTTCAGTTAATTTTCAAGGCAACATTTTAATTTTTTTTAAGTTTGTTTAATTCTGATAAATCTTGATATATCATAAAATACTTTTCTATGTCCCAGGGCAGGTTGATGTTTAAAAAAATCAATTCAAAATACAAAAAAATTTTGTTATTTTATTGCGGCTTTATTTCAGTTAACTAAAACACTTTTTTATAGTTTTAGGTTTAGTTAACAAAAACAGCCCTAATCTACAACAGAAATTAACATGCTTTTTCAACTAAATGCATTGCGCTTGAAAGAAGATTCTAGCATACTGCATAATAGATATGCAGTATGATGCAGAGTATGTGACATTAAATGAATGCTAAATAGTTCTTTAATGCATATTCTTATGTATTGTGCTTCTAGCACCGTACTGTAACAACTTGATGAAGAACATGGAAGCCAGTCCCATCTCTCGAATGATCTGGAGAGCACTGAAACCTCTCCTGATGGGGAAGATCCTCTACACGCCACACAGCCCTGCCACACAGAAGATCATTCATGAGGTAACCTTTCATAAAAAAAAAACAACACATATGTGCATGGTACTTTCAATGATTTGTTGATTAACACCCTTGTTCTTTCCCAGGTCAACAAGACATTTCAGGAGCTCGGAATTCTACGAGATTTAGGAGGAATGTGGGAAGAAGCCAGACCGAAGGTTTGGAATTTCATGGAGAACAGTGAAGAAATGGATCTGTTGCGGGTATGAT